CGCCCTTTCAACCGCACTAAGACTGACGTCTTTCATTGGTCAGCCGGTTAGCGCGGTCGATGCTAATAATAAAACCACACACACCCTCCGTTAATATGTACCTTGTCTGGATGCCTTGCCGCCCACTTTTCTAGGGCCTCCGGCAGCGTCATGCCAGGCAATGTGCCTTCCTCTACTCCTGTACCAGCGGAAGCCATGGTGCGCCCTGTTGCGCCCGCTGCTGTTGATCGGCTGGTCGATGTGTCTTTCCGATGGCACATGGCAACGGACGAAACGGGTGAAAAAGGTGATTGCCGTTGCCATTCGGCGAACTGCAACTGCTTCTCAGTGTTGCGACGTACCCCAGCAGGAGACTACAGCAGCAGTAGTCCAAAAAATAACACCAGACATGAACACCCGAAATGAAACACACAAGGCAGAGTGCATCCCGACAACTGCCACATTTACAACCGTCAATGCCCGTGTACATTCTGTAGACAGGTAGACTGCACGTAGACTACAGCAGCAGTGTAGCTTACAGGAGTAGATGCGGAACAATTTCACGAGCTGCTGACTCCCATCACCTGGCTTGCACACTCATGGACATCGCGGACGGTATGAGCACACACACCGTGTGCGACAGGGGGATATTCTTGCTTGTGATATTTTTTTGCCCAAATAGCAGTAATTAACCCATAAGCAAGCGGTCCACCTTCCAAGTTTCTACAGCAGTACAGCAGGAGCAGTCGATCCTGTCATCCTGTCGAGAAACGGTCCTGCCTGTTAGTGTTGCAGTAGCCAATCCATGATTCAAACAGCGACAGAGCTGATAATTCGAAACTCCCCGAATCCCTACTCACAATAAATTGCAACACAAGCAAACACACAACGACTCACATTTTCAACGCTCCTCTCTCTTCCTCATGGACTCCACCCCGCCTCTCTTGCAGCGCCAGTAGTGGGACTCGTGTGGTGCCGTTGTTCCGACAAGAGGGGGTCCAACGAATGCTACACAATAGGCGTGTTATATACCAGGGCCTTTTGGGATTTTCTTGCTGTGGGCCCCCCATGTGTTGATGTCTGTTATTGTTGTGCAGTGTCAAACACCTCCAAACCAGCGGCCGCAGCAACAAGGGCAGCGCACATCGCATAAGAATGATTAGCACACTTCGTAGGGCGGGAACCAGAGCCGGGCGTGCAGTGGGGGCCAGGTGAAGAAATGCCGTCATCACGTCAATTGTTTTGATTGAAGTGTTATGGGGGCGGGGTATTTCCCTCGTCCTCTGGCTGACGCGTTCCACGTTCCACCGCATCGGATGCTCGGCACTCTCGAATACATTTGACACCGCCATGTGCACCACAGCTGACGAATCCAAGCAGAGAAGATGGCGTGGATCAGCGAACATCGACCGCGCGAGATCGTAGCGTTGCGTAAGAGCTCGAATATTGAATGCAAGATGCACATGTCGTGATGTACCCGTGTGCGGAAGCATCTCTCGACACCATGATCGTTTTGACCAGCCGAGCCCCATAGCCCACCCAAGCCACGCGTGTACTACTGCAGTAGCAAAGTATCACCACGCAAAAACTTGCACGCGCTCATGTGTGGAGGATTTTTCTTGCTATGGTACGTGTTGCTGCTTGTCGGGAGCTTCAATTTTTATAAACCCGTGTGCGGGTGCGGGGTAGCAACGCGATGGCTACAGCGTGTGAGTTCATGTTGCAACAGAGGGCCCTCACATGCATCGTTTTTTTGAAAAGATGAAAATTGCATCAGTCACCTCCTTTATACGAACGCATCTTTTTTTTCACGCACGTTGCCTTTGGGATCCGCCCCCTCCCCCGTCCATTTGTATCTCTCTCTCTTTCCCGGTCCGACTACAAAGCCTTGCGGGGCGCACCCCGGCCGCTGCCGCCGCTCCCTCCATAACATCAATTTGGCGGGAAGCCTCACCCAGGTCAACTGCCTCTCCGGTGATCGGGGCTCCCTTAGCTCCCGCTAGGGCGATGCACACGGAGCAGGAGGGATCCATCTTGTGAGTGGAGATTTGAGTTGAATGCAAACACACTTGAAGACGCGAACATTTTTGTTTGGTAAGCGCTCCTCTCTTCTTATTCGCGGCTGTTTCGGTCTCATCCCCTCATCTCGACGGCCACGGAAGTTGTTAACGACAAGCTCCCCCTACCGCGGCCGGCTATTTTGCAACCCGTATACAACGTCCGTTTCATGAACACAGATGTTTCGATGATTACATCGTGTCGACAGCTCCAGAATGCACCTCTCGGCCGTGTGCTGCTACCTCTTGTTGAGTCTGGTCGTCTGCTCAGCATTACCTGATACAAGGTTTTGTACCCTATGGTACAATGTTCGGCCATACCGTCCACTCTGCTCTCTCGCACTCTGGTGTTATCTGACAGGCTGCGCAGGGATATTGCTCCCCTCATCAAACTCCCCCATTCATGCTGCATGCATCGGTTTGCGTGTTTACGGGCGTCTCGCCCCCCTGCTCCACATCGTAGGGACGCTTGATCCCCGTTGTCGTTATGTTCTCAAGCTGCACAGCAGTAAATGCGTGAGTGTTCCCGGTTGCTCTTGACTCATGACTTCGTTACTCGCAGAATGTTGACGCAGTTCTGTTCCCGAGTTCATGGGTTCAGCACCCATCAAGCCACCTCTGAAACATTTTTTTTTTTCGGTCAGCACGCCACAATCCGATTTCCCCAGCGCTACGCTCATCTCCAACGGATACCGGTCACTTTCCGCTCCGCGTCCCGCCCCCCCTTGCATCCTTCGGCCCTGTGCGCACGCGCAGCTACCCCGCCTCCTCCGCCAACATCATGGAGCCGGCTCCTGGGTTCAAGGCCAAGGCGGTGGTCGACGGCGACATCGTGGACGTCAGCATGGACGACTACAAGGGAAAGTGGGTCGTTCTCCTCTTCTACCCGAAGGTAATATTTATCAACGGACGGACATAGTCACCCGTTCGGTTGTCGGGGTAGGTAGAGTTTTGGTCAAGGGCTCGAGAGTTTGTTTTTTTGCTCACCCACTCGGTTGCGATCTGAAGTTGGGGGCACAGGCGATGATATCGTATAAGGGTAGGGGGGGCTCTGTTTCGTCTTGTCACTGGATCCTGAGCGGAGCGTGCAGTGCTTTTTGTCATTGAAATGAGGCCAGAGTTAGTCGATTTGCCGGGCAAGGAATCGAATCAAGTCATTTTCTCGATTTGGTAGTCGAGAGCTGGGGAGTGCATCTGGAGTCGGATCCATTGCATGGATGGCATTGTACCATGCACGGGTGTGCCGGTCGTATGCTCCTCGTTTCGCTCTACAAGGCGACCCTACCATGTACCGATAACGGTGTTCTCTTGAAGGGGGCGTGTGGCTTGACGCAGGGCGGTTGGGAAACAATATTTGGCTACGCTCTTGACGTTTCGAAGAATAGGGTTTGCTCCGATGTTGGAGAAGTAGTAATGTTCCCGCCAAGTAATGTTCCCGCCAAGATTCAGGCCGTCATGAGATTTCGCAGACGGAGTCACAACCTTGCGTGGTGCACTGTGTTGCTGTGAACTAAGATTCAGACGCCTGTAGTCACCTCCGCGGCCGGTGCTATTTATCCTCATCATGCTGTGCTCGGTTGCTGTGGTTAGACCGATGCTGCGCCGTCGGCCGGTCGGTCGGCGCCTGATAAACCTCTCCTTAAAACGCGAGGTTCATCTGTTTGAATAAGTCTAATGTTATGTGAAGGGAACCTAGCAGCATGTACAAACGAGAAGCCACCGGCCGCTGCTGTACTCAACTTTGATTTCGTTTGTCCTCGATTCATGTTCAAATTTTGTTCGTTTGCAGGACTGGACGTTCGTGTGCCCGACGGAGATCATCGCCTTTTCTGACAGACACTCAGAATTCGAAGCCCTGGGTGCACAGGTAAATACACAAACGCATAAATTGTGTTGACAGACGCCTCCTAGACCTGTTTAGCTTGAAGTTGCGTTTCTGTGTGCCCTGTGCCCTTCTTTGGGCAAAGGCCAGCAAGGAATTGAGCATGTCCCCGTGTTTCCGTGGTAACCCTGCTTGGCGTCACCTAGCTCGGTGAGCGACGGTCGACAGACTAAATCAGGCGGAAACAGAGCCCCTTTTGCCCCGCACGTAAAACGAAGGATGGCGACAAGCTTCTGGGCCGGCGAAAGCTCGGTATTTCACTCCGCCCCGGCGTTTTAGGGATGCGAGGTCAATGGTCTATCGACTACGACTTGGTTTCCGTGAGGACACCCCCCCCGTGCCCGCGCGGGGATGGCTTGGAGCGAATCGTGCAGCTATTGGGACAGATTGTACTTGTCACGCACCCTATACGACGGCGCGCCGTGCATCCGCAAGGTGTAAATGATTTGTTCCGTCGTCTTCCTCGTTGGTTGCTGGAGGTCCTGACTGCTTTTACGTGTGCTTGTATGGAACCGGGCGACCTGTGCATGTTGCATGAAGGTCCTGGGGATCTCGACGGACACCGAGGACAGCCACTTGGCGTGGACGCGACACCCCCGAAAGAGGGGAGGGCTGGGGCACATGAGGTGCGTGTCACTTGTATCACTTACCACTCAACCTTCTGTATTCACTGAACGGCTGATTGTCTGCGCGTCCAAAGGCCGCTCTGCCCTCTGAAGTAGCACCCTCATCTTCTCCCCGACATAAAGAAGCAAAATTCGAGCATCCACGACCACAAGTTAATTTTGCCTACAAGGTGAGGAGTTCTGAAAGATGTTTTGGCCAGTGTCTTCACCAAACCATTTCCGTTGTATTCTTGCTCTTGGCCGAACATCAGCCGAACATCATTTGGTCTAAGCATCGTGTTTTGGATGAGGCCTCCAGCTCCAAGGCCGGAGGTCCCACCCACACCTTCACGCCCGGACGTGGAACTACCACATGCGCTCCACATCCAGCACGGTGTTGGACCTCGTGCCCCGCCATAACGCGGAGGGGGATACAGAAGCCACTCGTTGGTACCTCTCCCTCTCCGCCCGGTAAAAGTGCCACCACGTTTTACTCCAGCGGACCCGGCGCAAGGGTACCACCCACGAAGAATATTCGGAGTACCACCCAAAAGGATGACAATCGCTGTGCGGACGACCTGGACGCCGTTCAATCGATCTTGAGCGGGTCAAAATACTCCGGATGATTATCTCCCACGAGGAGGGCCGTGGGATGGCATCGGCCACGCCGCTGGCCGCCGTTGGAGGAACTCACGTAGATGGGAGAAAGAGAAAGACATGCTCTACCTGGATGTCAAACACGCGGGTATACATGTCGGGCTTGCCGAGACCCGCAGCCTGCAGCCGGTCCGCAGGCGGTAGATTTCGACGGGAGCAGGTGCTGCGGCTGGCGCTGGTGGCGCGGTGGGCGTCGGATTGGCCCAGTTCCTGACACCTCTCAGTGTCTTGTATTCTCCAATGTTCTCGCGTGTTTACGGTGGGGAGAAAGAAATTGACCGGCTGTGTGCAACATCTCAAAACGCTGTCAGGGCAGCCGCCTGCATCCAATTTCGTGCCTTACTTTTTACTTCGTTTTTTCTGATAGTACTGTTTGGTTTGGGGGGGCTCCGTTGCGTCCGATTCTGTGCCTTGCAGGATCCCCCTTGTGGCCGACCCCACGAAGGAGATTTCGGCGGATTACGGGGTGCTGATACCGTCTCTCGGGATCGCTCTCAGGGGGCTCTTCATCATCAACCCCGAGGGCGTTCTCGAACAGGCGAGCTTGTCGGTGTCACCGAAATTTCTGTGGAGTGTCGAATGTGTTGAAGGAACAGGACCGTTAGCAACTCGCGGAACTGGGGCGGTGGTCATTTCCTTGTTCGCCAAATATCATGACCGAGTTGCACGTGCACCAACCCGCGCCTTAGTTGTGCCGGAAGGATTGAAGTGAAATTTGGCCATTCGAAAGGTGGTGGTGATCTGCAGGCGTACCGAACTCACAATCGGAACGGAGCCAACATTCCGTTGAACTCCTCACCGAAACCGCTCGGAATGGGAATGAAACACTCTCGTTTTCTCATGCTGAACGGATATTTATTCCATCGCCACCACTCGTCCTATTTTGGACCACCGCAATCGCATTGGCACCCGATCTACGGTGTCTGTCTAGCGTGTGCTACATGGACAGGTTTTCTCTTGATGGTGGTTAACGCCGTGTGTTGGTGGATGGCTTGTTCGAGGCTCTGGCCCATCATCACCAACATTTTTTTTCCGCAACCCTGCCGCGTCCTTGGCGAAAAAATCTCGCATACTGCGCTAGAATAACCCCGTTGCCGTACCTTAACGCGATCTTGGCTCCCATTGCTGCACAACAAACGTTGGTCCGAACGCTTAAGGTGACGATAAACAACCTGGGCATCGGAAGGGATGTGGATGAGACACTTCGACTAATTCAGGCACACCAGTTCCTGGCAAAGCACGGCGAGGTAGGGGTGTGGGCAGGCAGATGGATACCGAGGTAACTTCAGCGGCAATTTGTTCAACATGGGGGCACATTAACTCCTGTTGTTATCGCCCTTTGCCAATGGAATCATGTTGATACAATGATGCCTGCGCCTGAGAGCCCGAAGCAAATCATGCAACTTCTGTTCCTTTTTCCCTCCCATTCTCTCTCGCAGCGAGTAGCGGGCTTCAGGCGAGCCCAGGGCTATCTCTCTTGACGGTTGTCAATATGGATATCCGAAGCCCAACATTGATGTGCTGGAATCACCTTTGCAAGATCGTGTGGCCGCAACGACCGTCGCCAGCGTCGCGATAGACTGGCCCCTTGTTGCCTCGGGTTTCCCTCTTCTGACGCTCCTGCAAAGATTCGAACGAAACGACCATTGCGCCCGCGTTCAGGTGTGCCCGGCCGGGTGGAAGCCGGGAGACAAGACGATGAAGCCCGGCTTGGACGCGTCCATGGAGTACTTCTCCTCCGGCGCGACGGAGAGCGAGGAAGACCCGCTTGAGGTGTTGGACGGACTGCCCGTTTTCTGTGTTTTTGTGTCCATGCTGCATCCGCCGCTCAGTTTGCGGTGTTTCGTGCCGGCGTTGTTCTCGCTGCGGGTGGTCTTTGCATCACTCTTGTCGTCGTCGCGGCATCTTCGCCTGTCCTGTCCTGTCCTGCTATTGTAGCTGCAACACGCTGCCCCCCTGTGCGGGTCGTGTGGTTGGCGCGATAATGGAGAACGAGAATCCCCTGGCAATCAGACGTCTTGTTTCTCCCGTCTGGTACCATCCACCTTGTTCAATTCTGCTGCTATTGCACACACGCCATCCTTCCCACTCGTAACACCCTACGTGATTGTCCCACCCAAAAGAGCCCCTCTGTTTCCGAATCCGCAGAGATGACTTGTTGTTTACGCCCAACTCTTGGCCCATTTTTGTTCCTTCCAACCGTATGTATCACGGCACGCTTTCCTACCAACACGGCTTTCGCCGTGCATGCGACGCTATGGACCTCGGTGCTCTAGGCTGGCGACAAGATGGTGGTGATCAACTCCCCGAACGACTTCAAGGACGTCACCTCTGAGGCTCTTGCCGTTGTCGACTGTGAGTATGGCGATTGGGCGGTCATTCGTTGCCGACGGGTATCGATGGAAGCGGTGGCGGAACGGCGGCGTTGTCCCCGCAATACTCGTGACCGTGAATTTCGCCAACCCTCGCAACGGTTTCAGTCGTGGGAGGCGCTGACCGTTGTCGACTGCGAGTTGAGCGGGGACACGACCAGTCGATGGGACCGTGTATCAGCCGTTTCACTTTTGCAGCTGGTGGGACGCGCGTGCCACAACTTCCCCGATTCCTCTGCCGCTCATTGCGTTTTACCACCGTATTGTCTTTGGTGTTCTTCCGAGGAGTTACCGCTCCATGGTTTCACAAAACTTTCACCGTGCGGTGTTTTGAGTATGAACGCTAGGAGATCGAGATCGTAAGTTTCACTCTGCGGTGTTGCTGTGAACATGGACACTTTTGGATCCACTCTTTCCCTCGGCAATAATAATATTCGAATCGTGTTTTTTGACGAGCAACCGCTCCCCGGGTGGCGCCATAATGGAGCCACTTGTTGTATTCTTCCGTACTGGCATCTGTCGGACAGTGCCTAGTTGTGAATCAAGTGATGCTTACTCACGATAAATCCCTTACTACACACTGTGGCGAAGGAAGATGGATACACGCGGTTATCATAGAACTCGTCATTATTATTATTATCCATTTAACGCTACAGGGTGTCCTACGGCCGCACTGAACCCTTAATAATACCCGGAAGGACTTGACGCCAATTTCTCAGGGGGTTTTCGTGGTTGTCGACTGTGGTGCGAATTGATGATCCTGCTAAACTATTGCAACAACCATCCATTGTTCGGGAAATGCTGATGCCACCGTTGGTTCTGCGCACCTCCTTGGAGTTGGAACCCCCCCCCAAATACAGCAAGGATCTGAGATGCCCAATCATGTTCATGACATGCTCTGTCATCTGTTGCTGTGTTTCGTCGTTCGTGTTACCCTGTTGATTCGAGTGCGCGTGAGCGCGGTTCTGCGCACGGGGTCCAGTTGCACGTGTGGCTGCGGTATTTGACATGCTTCCCCTTTCTCTCGATGTTGCTATTTCCGCGCAATGTTGATTCAACCATTAGTCGTGGCACCGCACTGTGGCAAGTGCCGACAGATGATGCCGTTCGTCAAGGAGCTCAGCGAGGAGTTCCCAGAAGTCACGTTCGCCAAGTTCGACACCACCGGTGAGATGGGTCATCTTTGAGTTGGTTTTAGCGTTGACGTTGTGGTTGTTGGCGTTGCTGTCTCGTGTTTATATATGTCGGGTGTTGGTGTTGGTGTTGGTGTTGGTGTTGATACTACTGTGGGTGCTGCAGTTGTTAGTTGTGGTGATGGTTTCCTGGTTAAGCTACGCCTGCAGAACGGGGGCTTCTTGTGAACTCGGATTCTGATCTTTTGTCGTCCTTCTCCTCCTGTGGCTGTTGTATGACCTGCCTCGTCATCAGAGGAGGCGATATCAGAGCTCTCCACGGACCTGGGGGTGGAAGCCCTCCCGGCTTTCCGGTTCTACAGGAAAGGGGAAGAGGTCGTGGAGCCTGTGATGGGCTACAAGAAGAAGAAGCTCCGAGCTGCCGTCGAGGAGTTGCAGAAGAAGGCGTAGGTTTTGGACAAAGCGGACTCGCTGCTCTCCTGGACTAGGTGTCGCATAGGGTCGTGTATCACCTGAAGTTGACTACGGGGTAGGAGTCGCCTGGATTTTGTTCTTCGCCTGGCCATCGTAAGGTCGTCTCTTGTTTCTACATGTCTCGTTGGCTTTGGTGGCAATGGTCGCGGCACCCGCGGTAGCGTCGGTATTGAAAGACTGTGATAATGCTGCAGGCTGAGACCTGCACATGGCGGCATGTTACCACTGCTGTGTCAGCATGCTCCGTTGAGCCTGGACAATTGTCCTAGAGGTATGTCAGAGCGAGTATACCGTACAACAAAAGTGCTGCCGTGGTTTAATGTGGGTGATGTGGTTTGGTGCGTGGGCTGTGTTGGCCGTTGCGGTGGCGCAGCCGGCGAAGGCCAACAGCTCACAAAGCTCAGAGTTGGGGCGTGGGTGGAAATTTGTATCAGTCCAGTATATCGTTGCCTCTGAACGTTGTAGGCCCTTGCGATGGCTGCGGTTATCATCCGTCTTAACCACAAATTGCCGCCACCGAATATTTCTTGAAGCGGATTACGAGGGTTGAAGGGAATGAATGCATGCCTCTTGGCTAGTGGAGGCGGTCGTTATTGACATTTTCTTCTGGGTAATCTGGGTTCGATAGAGGCATCCCCCCTCCAAATCGCTTCGTGAGCTCGACCACCAGGTTACCGGCTCAGCTTTGCCTTTGGGGGGCGTGGGAGAATTGGAAGCGGGGAAATCTTCGCCAGACAGGGAATGATCACGCAAAAGGCGTCGAACTTCCATCAAAGCTTTTCCCAACAAGTTTTTACCGCTAGCCGCCCACTTGGATGAAACGCTAGCCTCTGGAAAGCATGCAGACATGCCGATACCCCAAACACGATCGAAGGGGCTGGATTCTGCAAGGAGGCGGGTACCCGTCTCCAGTAGATGATGTTTCATGTCATGGTTTTGAGCAAATTTGGCATACGACCCCGTGAGCACGATCTCTTCACGACGACGCTCCCATTCGGCATAGTCGAAAGGACGCACATTTCGACCCAAAAACTTGTGTGTCTTAGGATCTGGTGCAGCCATAATTTTGTCATACGACGTCATATCTCCAAACAACTTCGCTTTTTCAGACATCATATATTGCTCACCACATGAATAACGTACCCCCAGTACGTTAAAAACCGAAGGAGTCCATTGCGACGACACAGACGGAGGTTTCCAGAAAAGAAGGACGTCATCCGAAGCGTACTCGCACTTGTCACCAAACGGCGGAGCCTGTGCAGGGCGAAGGGGCAAAGAGGGGGCACCAGGCACAGGCGGAGGTGGACCAGGCGGACGGGTCCTCTTCTCCGACGGGGAGGACCCAGGAAGCGAGGCAGGAGCGGGCGAAGTCGCAACGCTCCGTGATCCGGAGGGCGGCCTTGGGGCGGCGGCTCCGGCGGGGTCAATGTTAGCAGAGGCCATTCAGCAAATACAGACCCGTTCGTTAGGAGAAGTCATTCCTGCAACATACTGATGTTTGTTCATTGACGCAGGGCGCTCTTGACTACTCCCCCTTGACAAAAGGAGCCGAACCTTCCACAGAATGGTAAGCACTATCATCCGACACCGATGGCAGTGGTGCAGTCAGCACGTGGTGGGCAGCAGAGGAAGACGCATTCGTATCAGGTGCTGTCATACGGGGGCAGCGGACGGTCGAAGACAACGGCNGATGTTTGTTCATTGACGCAGGGCGCTCTTGACTACTCCCCCTTGACAAAAGGAGCCGAACCTTCCACAGAATGGTAAGCACTATCATCCGACACCGATGGCAGTGGTGCAGTCAGCACGTGGTGGGCAGCAGAGGAAGACGCATTCGTATCAGGTGCTGTCATACGGGGGCAGCGGACGGTCGAAGACAACGGCAGCTGCGAAAGAGAAGGAGGATCGACGGGGTTCCCGGCGAGTGTAGAAGAAGGCTCGTGTGCGGTCTGAGAAGAGGCCCGGCTGACAACACCAGGAGAGTCTTGACGAACAGTAGAAGACGAGGTTCTTGTTCCTTTTGTAACCCGAGACGACGAGGTGGTNTGCGAAAGAGAAGGAGGATCGACGGGGTTCCCGGCGAGTGTAGAAGAAGGCTCGTGTGCGGTCTGAGAAGAGGCCCGGCTGACAACACCAGGAGAGTCTTGACGAACAGTAGAAGACGAGGTTCTTGTTCCTTTTGTAACCCGAGACGACGAGGTGGTCAGGGATGGACCGCTCGACGTCTTACCTCCCTGTCACCCACACCACAAAGGTACTGCCGAAATTGGTCTGTCATGTCCATTACCAGCAGGCGATGAGGCGGACGACGAGGAGGCGGGCCAAAAAACTAGATGTGATTTAGGAGCGTGGGGAGTATCCACAGAAATAGGCCGTACACGAACATCTTGGGCATCTTGGGAGACTCCAAAAGGGTGCACGGTGGTTGCTGTTGACGGTAGTACCGGCTGAACTCCGCCATCGGCTTGTCATTTCTTACCCCTCCAGCCCCTTTTCGTCGAAGTGGAAGCCTCCGAAGAGTGCTCTGTGTGTGAGGACTGTTTGGCGATGTGTCAGATGAGCGGCGGGCGCGTCCTAAGGGGTGACTTCGATGTGGGTTGCCTCCTGTAGGGCGTCTATACAAGGTCATGCACTTTTTCCACCGACCCCAAAGGGTGGGATGTTGTTCGGCAAATCTTCCACTATGCTCAGGCCAAGAGATACACGGCGACGACGAGCAGTTGTTCCCATGGCGCCGTGGACCGCTTGTATTCTTCTATCACGACTCTGGCTTGTCAACCCAATTGATTCAGTGGTGAAATCATTTTACCGGAGTTTTCTCCACCGTCATTCAAAGAAAATCAAGTACCTATGGTTCCACGTGTGTGTTCCTCGTCCCGGGGGGTTTGAAGCGCTTTCGACAGCTCCCCGACGCATTTTCTCCCGTTTTTACGACCCATCGTAGTCTCTCCTCGTGCCCATCACTGATGTGTGGGTATTGTTCTCGAGTGCCTTCACAGACGGTTGACCCAGACAGTTGAGAACGTGCAAATGTTAGTCTCGGGGCACCACACCCACCACAACATAGTCGGTACCTGAAGCTGGGTTAAGTGTAATCATGAAAAGCAATCTTACACTCATCACTGGGCAGAGGAATTACTAAGACATTCCTGATCAGCCATTCATTGCGTACCTGTGTAGTACGGCCGGAAATACTATGCTTGTAGGGAAGATGGGGGAGGGTGAAATTGAAGTTGGGGGGCATGAAGCAAATCAATCATGCTCAGTCGCGACGCGACAGAAAGGTTACCTACAACTTATGGGGCCCGGTTGACTGAAGTACACGCGGCTCCTATAGTTACCATGTGCGGTTGATCCGCGCTGAGCAGAACACCTTAATGGTTCACGGCACAGCGTAGGGCGTTTTCTATAATTGCTGCCCGCTTTATAACGCCAGGTATTTGCAGCCCGTGGTCACGCAGTGTGGCCTAGCTGATACGTCATAGCCTTGAACTCGAATCAAAACTAGATTAATGCATGTGGCACCGTGTTGAAGCATATCGTTTCTGTTAGCACCGCGTCCCATGCTGCCTGGCTTTAGTGTTGGAGTGTGGAATGGGGCACGATGGAGCTGGACTTCGTAAAAGGTTGAGGCGAGCCTCAAAGGGTTCGCTCTTCGTGCATATGGTTCCTTGACTACAAGACACCGACCCAAGGCAGAGGCGTTGTTACCACGTACCCGGCAGTAGAAGCTGCCGCATCAAGGACCCCAAACGTTCCCTAACCCTAACCCTATTTGTACCAAACGCACATCATGTCTACCTCCCGGTGTCCGTCCCGCCACATGGGCAGGCGGCGATTTTACCACCAGATGGCCGTCGCGCCTACAGACCCGATCACTCATGGCCAATGGTTCCTTCATGCCATGCCAAAGGTGGCGTACATTAGGTTTTCCCCGTGGTATCTATCCTATCGATAGGAATTCCAGGCGTTTCAGTCCACTTACTTTCCAGCCCACATAGCGGCCGTCCTTCTCCTGGGAGGTGAGGGGGGTGCTCATTACCGTGCATGCCGTAGACGATAGACGATGGAGTTGGTGCTTTTACCTACAGAGACAGATAAGGCACTGTTCAACTGCCTCGATGGTGCTTGGCCGGACTACACAACGTGATGCAGTCACCCCCTTTTGGGGGAATGAGGGCTCGCGACCCCACACAAAATGGTCAACTCGACCACCATCATGGTTTCCACAACAAAAGAAAGGGGAAAGAAATACGAAACGCGGTAGCTCAGAACTTCTCAATGCTTCTGCCATAAGTCCGCAACATTGGACCTTAGGCGAATATGGCAAAAAAACACAAACAAATGACCCGCCAGAACCAACTGACACATGATCAACCATGGTTCAAAACACCATCAATCCAAGCTTAATCAAGCCGGCACATCATACATACCGGAGAGAGGTGTTAGTAAAGGCTTACCCATTAGACTACTCAGTCAGCGCTGACTGAGTAGTCTAATGGGT